GGAACTGAATTTCGCCCAATCTGTGAATCACGGGCATCTATTGTCTTGTTTGCTAGTCATTGAGCTGTGACCGCACGCTTTTTTTGAACGGAATCACAAACTCGTCCAGTAGCTCTGGTTTAAGGATCCTTTATTTTTGCCACTTTAGCTTCGTTCACTGCCTTTTGCCGCCGTACTGTGCCTGCTTTTTGGTTTGTCCTAGATCTGCTCCGGATCTTTCCCAGGAATCTACCTTATCATCTACTGCACTGCTTTCAGCAAATCTTCATTCTTTTCGTGGTTTTGCTTTCTACTGAAGATGGAGCTCTGTAAATTTGGCGCTTCGACGGACGGTTCCAAAGACATTGAGAACGGCGAAGTGGGCGTGCCACCAAGCAGTTCATCAGTGAGCGTCGGCGGTGTTGCGCCGAATTATCCCCTCAGGATCCTCACGCACATAGTGACTCTTGGCATAATATGCTCTCTCGCAGCTTTGGTGCTCAATTCCCCAGTAACGATCCGTGGAACATTTTGCAACAACACGGATAGCGCCCTTCCAATGAAGAAGCGGTCCATTACCCGTGTAATGCTGCTATCGATCGGATTTTTTACGCCTTCCCTCATCATCATCCTTGTAGAGTGCCTCATTGCGGCCGTCCGCGTCACACAGGAGAAGCAAGGCAATGGAAGTCCTGTGACGTTGTTCGGCTGGACCGTCCCGCAGTTGCTTGTTGATCTGTACATTCACCTTGGTGGATTCGGGTTCTGTCATGCTTGCGCCTGGCTTTTAGTGGATTCTATTAAAGGTTATGTTGGCTCTCTTAGGCCCAATTTCTTTGATGTTTGCAAACCGGATTGGAGCAAGGTGAACTGCAAGAACTCACGCGGGGAATATATATACGTTACCGATTTCCACTGTACAGGGGGTCCTGGTGGTGTCGAGGAAGCCAGGAGATCGTTTCCCTCCGCTCACGCCGCGTATGCAATGTGTGGCATGCTTTTTGCAATTTTATACCTTCAGTACAGACTCAGGTGGCAACAGCAGGAGACCGCCCCGAAGCGTCATCTGCGCAACAGGCAGGGCATTTTGGGGTTGCTTGAACAGCTCTACTGGATAGTTCAGGCATGTGTACCTATTCTTCAAGTCTTGATGTTCCTCCTTGCATTGTATGTGCCCGCAACTAGGGTTCTGGAACACTATCACCACGTCAGAGATGTTTGTGGTGGAGCGGCCGTTGGCGCAGTATGTGCCCTCTTCGGCGCCTTCTTCGTTATCGATATGAGGAATCGTTGATTGGGTTACTCTTTAAAGCATCCGATATTTGGCTGGTCGCTTAGTTTCTTGTACAGATATGGGCTCTCGAGCACAGTGGCATGTAGCCACGCGTCGCCGTTCTTGGTTGCTTCATTGCGCTGAAATGCCCCGTATTTTTACTTTGGGCAGCACTTTGAGCTCCCGCTGGTCTTCGTCGCAATTTCGATTTGCCGGATTGCAGCTCGTCTATTTTTTTCGCGTGTAGAGCGGAATGGTAGGAAATGAGTATGCCGTTTTTCGACTTCCCACGAGGTTCGGATTCGCCAGACCTCGTTTCCGCTGCCCTAGCTAAAGGCAGCGTTATCTGAACTGCCTAATTCAAAGCATTTCGAGCGTGCGCAACATATTTGGCCCTGGTGCCCGGTTTATTTGGCCGCCGAGAGCTTTGGGCTCGGTGGAGAAGGCCCTAAAATGCAGCATGTTGCTTTCCACCTGCCAGTCAAGCTCGCACGACGCGTATTATTACGAGCAATTGTAGTTCTACAGCTAGTTTCGTACACAATGCAATTTTATCCGCTGCTGTGCGTTTTTCACGGTTTCTGAGGCGGTCAACTTTGCTCCAGGTTGGGACACTGCGTGCCCTCGCCGAGGCCCTGTAGCCCGGGAAGGAAATCTGGAAGTGGCCAGTATAACATTTTCCCTCCTGTATTGTGTGGCTCTGCATGCATGCAGCAGAACGCTCCCTGGACCACAATGGCATATACTGGAAACAGTTGAAGTAGCTGAATTCAAGTGTGCTCCTTGAAGATATCCCTGCTAGATGGGATTATATCGGAGCTTTCGTTCCCTACCATCTCAGTGCTGTGAAAGGGAGTTAAACCATGGACAGAACACCACGTCTACACTAGTCTGGACGGGGCAGCCTGTGAAGCTGCAGCGATCTGCGTTCCGGAGAGTTAACATGAAAGGAGAGCGAAATAGGTGTTAACCTCAAGAGTGCCCTCTTAAAATTCCTGGGTTGTTGGAAGGCATTGTTTTTGAGGCTCTTTTCGCCCCCTCTGGTCCCATTTAAGGTATCCCCACGGAGACACTTAACTTCCGACACACTATTAATCTTGATAGTTACTTCTAGAATAAATTTACGCCATTCCCCTGCTAGCGTCCCTCTAAGTTCCCATCAAGCCGGGAGAGGGACAGCCAGGCTGCCCAAAGCTCCACCCTCTAAGCACTGCGAACAGTGATAGCTAGTTGCATATTGCATCTAGCGCACGCGCACACAAGATTGCATCCGGTTGGAACGAGCTAACAGTACTCTGCAGTTCATCAGATATAAAAGCAGGCAACCGTGTTTGTCAATTTTCTCCTAATTCCTTATCGAGTAGAAGCAAAGTGGTAGAAGGTCATTCAGGGTGGCTCACGGAAATGCTGTATTCGATGCTCGTAGAGAGGGATCATTGCTCACCAGCATGACTCAGGGGTTAGTAATGAAAGAACTCTTGCGTCTCACGCTGACTGCTCGCTAGCCCCCACCGCAAATGATCGCCGACAGCACGGAGTGTCCTGTGTGCTACCTATGCAGAATCTCGGGGGTCACCTTTTCTGTTACTCTGTATTGATTTGCGTATTCGCCCATAACTGAAGCAGGGGAATGCACAAATGACAGTTGGAAGCATTCGAAGAGGTCTAACATCAGCGACACACACAACATTACCCGCTTCAGTGAAATCCGGAGTAGACGAGATTGTGGTGAGAAATAGGATGGAGAGTGATGCTACGATAGGCTCACCAGTAGGATATAGTAGCCTATAGCACCTTCCATACATATGTATGTACCCATAACTCTATAGATAAAAGTTTTTGGCTCTGATACCGCTGCTGTGGGCTGGCAACTGCATTCACGAGACCGCGTCAGCCGTACTCTCCATGCGACTTGCAACCGGGGAAAACTTCTTTGCGTCTCTAAAGGCATTACACAAACAATAATTATTTGGCCCATTTGAGGGGAAAGTGGAAAGATTCAGCTTACATCTTGTTTTGCGTTTTGCGTTCGCTTGCCTCGTAAGCACTGCTACTTGCACGATTTGGCGTGCCGGAGATTTTCTGATACCGAACGGCATTTCGTTCAAAAATTCACTTATCGCAGGAATTCTCTGGCGGGGCTACCTCTGGAGGTCGGGAGAGAGTCTCCCAGGTTCCCATCCCCCTCCTTTGCTCAGTACCTTTTCTGTTGCTGAGGTGACGCCACTCCGTTATCTCAATTTTTAAATGGACCGGGACAGTCTATACCTTCTTGTTCATATATCTTATGTTCTTCGCTTGCGGTAAAAGCGTCCTATGTACTCCCCGTTCATCGTTTTCTGTACCTATAAGGCCCCCAAAACAGAGTCTCTACCCAAATGGAGCAGAACGAATCTGTTTCTACGAGGAATTGTGTTGGCGACATTGAACGGGGTGACGGTGAAGAAAGGGACTCAAAGCAGGTCCGTAGTTCCTCCGTTCCAAGCGTATTTTCGAATTACTCCATCAGAGTACTTTTGTCCATCTCGTGAGTGTTGTAGCGCTGCTCGCGGCTGCGTTCGCTTTAGGCGTTGCGGAACCCTTAACTAGGGGAGCATTTTGTAATGACTCAGATATCGCTGCACCTTATATAAGGGAATCAGTCTCCCCAGCAGCAGTGGCTGCCGTTTCGATGGCAGCTCCCATCGTGATCATTCTCCTAGTGGAAGCGTTGATTGCCGCCATCCGGAGGACACAGGAGCAGGATAAGAAGAAACACAAAGTAGTGCTTTTAAGCTGGAGCGTCCCTCGAACGGTGGTCGAGCTGTACAAATATATCGGGGCTCTAGTCTTCTCAATGTCCTGTGTTTTTTTCACAACTAATGCACTCAAAAAGGTGGTTGGCTCCTTACGGCCACACTTCATTGATGTCTGTAATCCGGACTGGAGCAAGGTAGCATGCAAGGATTCTAACGGTCATCAACTTTATGTCGGCAACTTCCACTGTACAGGGAATGTTGACCAAATACTGGAAGCTAGGCGATCCTTTCCCTCAGGTCACAGTAGCCTTGCATTTGGTGGCATGCTCTTTGGTGTCCTCTACTTGCAAGCCAGGCTCAAATGGCAGGAACACAAGACCGCACCCATGCGAGAGCTGAGTCATCAGCAGGGTGCCAAAGGAAGACTTACAGAACAGCTCTATTGGCTTGTTCAGGCAGCTGTGCCCTTACTTCAGGTCATGATGCTCCTACTCGGCTTGTATGTCGCCGCAACAAGGGTGGTAGAGCACTTCCACCACGGCAGAGACGTTGCTGCAGGCATGGCCATAGGTGCTGCGTGTGCCGTGTTTGGTAGTTTTTTTGTTATTGACATGTCTGGCCGCCAGGATGGCGGCCACTTCTAGGGGCACGTTCAGCCCAGTTGCTTGTACCAACTACGCGCATGCTGGAAGACCAGAAACATCGGGTTGGTGCGAGTACTGGTCACCTTAATTATTCGTGACTGGCTGCTCCCTACACTGCGGCTTCTCATATACTGCGGGTAGTGTTCCAGTCGCTTTCAATGCGGGGTGCTACCAGAGAGTTGGTTTCACACGTCTGTTTCCTACGCTGCTGGCCCGAAGAAAACTGTTTGGAGGGCACTTTAATTCTTGCGGCTGAAGGTCGTTAATAAGAAAACACCTCTACAAATTGCTTTGCATTACCAGCGTCCACCAAAAGTGCGATGTGGGTGTGGGGTCCACGCGGGGCCACAGCCATGAAAGCTAACAACTTGGGGTGTTGCGTTTTAAACGATATTTTTGTTCGAAGCAGTCTCGTACAAGCTCTTCCAAAGTAAAATATGCTTTAGAGAAATCGGTGTTGATCCCTGCTGAAAAACGTATTGTGATTTTCGCCTGCGATCTACGTTCGCGTCTTGCCAGTGCTACGCCGCTGCTCTGTTCGTGTGCCGGCCAATCACCACACAACGCCTAGCTACTTTCTGAACGTTTCTGAATGAATGCATACAGCTGACTATTGACAGATGTTGCGGGCAAGCTACCGTCAATGCGCTGTAGTAAGCCGCGCTTTTCGTACCGCTGTACCAACGGGAGCGTTTGCTGGTTGAATACATGCAACCGCCTTCGAAGCGTTTCTTCATTGTCATCCTTTCTCTGAATCAGGTCCTCGCCAGTAACCTGCGATAAGTACGAACAGCATCTCATAACTGTCAGGCTGTGGCGGTAGAAATACTAGCATCTCGCGAATCGCTTAGGTGCCAAAGTACACTGTCTGGCACGGAATCTATGATATACAGAAGTATTCGATTGCCGAACTCAGCCAACCTTGACAATGGTCGAATCGCCTCCGAACTACACGGAACATTACCGTGGCGTTCCACAGCCATTCTAAAGAGAAACGTCATGGATATCCTGAAACTCACGTCATCTTTTCCGGGAACTTTGGGCGGATGGAAGACTGTGTGGTAAACTCTTCCACTAGCAGGATGCACGCGGCGGCCGCTGATCCTTTGAACTAGAGTGTCCTCGGGTGTATCGAAATACACAACTCCGTCGAGCTTTTGCTTCTGAGCCTCGAGCAGCTTGTCCAACTGGAAACGAGGAGAAAAACAAAGTACCAAAAATAGGATGGATGTAAGGTGCAAAATGCTCGAGTGGGGTGGTACAAACGCAAGAGCACCATATATCGCCAATGCGTATATCCACGGAGTAGCGGCTGACCCGTCAAGATGCGACACGTTCAACACGGCACTAGAAGTTTCCATACTCCACAGACGCGCATTTGAACAATCAATGGACATTGAACTAAGCTCAAAAGAGAAATCTAAACACCTTCTGAGCTGAACAATAAAATTCGCGTCATATTTTGAATATTTATATACCCACCGCCTCGGCTTGTTGTTGGTTTCTTGGATACCCATCCAAAATAAATCCACGAGCACACTCCGAGCTTCACATCCGCTCGGCAAGTAGGCTGAGAACCAAGTCATCTGGAACGAGTTGACCAGCGGCCATTATTTCCTTGGCCTGAATTCATTGCATAGAAAAGCAGATTATGCAGAATCATTCGCTCAGAAAAAGCCTACGATTCATATTATTCCTGTAGGGAAAAATTCTGCTAGGCAAAACCCTTATCAAGTTTGGCACAGTGCGGTCCGCATGGCGCGAGTTTTGCTTTTCCAGAGCACACGCTTCCACACACACAAAATCTGGCCTCCCGCCAATCGTGCATACGTTGTTCTACGTTGGGCAGGTGCAATCTTTTCTTACCACGTAATAACATGTGATAAAAGAAGACGTACCTTCTTGCCGAGATCTGTTCCAGCATCAACAGCTTCGCGAAGCATGTCGCCAGTGGAGATGTGGCAATAGCAGTGAGAATGACGAAGGCTGGAACTCTGTGTGCCCTTTCCGGAACCCGGTGCCCCCAGGAAAACATATCTGGAACACGCAAATATGGCAAATTTCTCGCTATGTTTCGCTCTTCACCACATGAGCTGCCATGATTGTCTGACTCTCTCTCCTAGAGTATCCATGTAATATGTTATCATGAAGTTAAATATAAGTATGCCCAATTAACCACGAAGCCATAAGCTGGATGGAGCTCCACTTTGATCCTATGATGCATACCGTCCTTCAGGCTTCGAAAG